GTTGCAATAAGAACTTGCAACCGTTGCTAGTTTGGCGTTGCAAGAGTTAGCTTTTCTTGCAACGTTGCCAAGCATTGCAATAGGACGTTATTGCAACATTCATTGGCGTGGCAATACGAGCACTTGCCACGTTCATCTTCGTAGCGAGAGGTGGTAAATACAACGAGCGATAGCGTGGCAATAGATTTTTGTTGCCACGCTATAATTTTGTTGCTTAAGGTGTTGTTGCCACGACCGTTGTGCCGTGGCAAGTAAATCATTTGCCACGCAAATGTAATCGTTGCGAGAGAGTATACATTATTGCCACGCTTGTCTTGGCGTGGCAATAGTATCATTTGCCACGCAAATTTATCCGTTGCGAGATACCGTTCATTATTGCCATGGCCGCGTTGCCGTTGCAACAGTATCATTTGCCACGCAATTTTATTCGTTGCGATATACCGTTCATTATTGCCATGACCTCGGTGCCGTTGCAGCAGTAGAATTTGCCACGCAATTTTATTCGTTGCGAAAGATTAATTGTTATTGCAACAATAGTCATGCCATGGCAATAGTATTATTTGCAACGTAAATAAGTCTGTTGCCATACAGCATATTGCCACGCATCACGGCTCGTAGGTATAGCTTTTATTGCAATGCTAGTAACATTTAATTTTGGTTTAATAAATCATCATTGCAAATCAATAAACCATATCAAAAGCAATTGCACCCACATATATTAATTATAATTAATCATTCAATATGTTGCCAAACCCATGAAATAGTAGCTAAAATCATAAACGAGTGTACAATTAACTCATTATTTGACAACTTTTTACAAACTTCCTAACATCTATGCAGCACTTGAGAAATTCCTAGCAGCCCAACATGTCATCTCCTCGGCTATGTCCTCGCTTGATTATGAGCCTCCCACTGAAACCTTGTCCACCTACTGACAAAAGAATATGACTGGGATATTAGAACAATATTAAGTTTACTAATTTTTGCACAAATGTAACGAGATGAAGATATAAAATGGTTCTAATTTCTAATTTCATATACAAAAGCCATCAACCAAGCTTTTGCATAGTTGAAGTTCTACTGTAATTCTGCAAATGAGCAAATGTTGTCGGTCTAGTTGCTGCAATTCCTTTTTCCATGAAAAAGATGGAAGTCATGTTCCATTGTTCTAGAACCACAAACATATGAATCAATTTCTAGTTTTACTCAAATTCTTACTGTATGCTTATTACAATTATGTTTTTCCATGAAAATAGCATTATGTGTTTTCACAATAACTTGATATTTTGTTCTCTACTTTCTCAATCTTTATTTTGGTCTCTGTATATCCCTCTCTTTTCAGAGTTTAAATGTTGTTCAAGATGTCAGCAATCCTTACTCCTTGGAAGCGTAGATGGCTGGGAATTTTAGCAAAATTTCATTGTAAGTATAGGTCGATTATATAAGTTCAATTGACTTTACAAATGATAATCTATATTTTTTTTGCAGGCTACATACTGAAGGCATAGTTCTATTGGGTAATACAAGTTTTTGTAGCAGTCTAGCAGACACATGCAGCTGTGTTCCATTTGATTGCATTATAAGATGTATGCATTCTCTTTCGCTCTTTATAAATTCTGCTAAAAGAAGCAGAGTCTATCAGCAAGCCTTGGGGAGGGATGGAGAAGAAAATACGGCTTTGATCCTATCCATCGTGGCCTTTTCAACGGATCAGATGCAGCTACTGCATATGTTACAGTAGCAGCTGCCTTCTCTGAATTTTTAAGGCAGCAACAGTTTAGTTGATTAGAAAAATCATAACTTGAGTTGTAGACAACGAAAAATTATATTCTTTAACAATATGGAAAGCCCATGAAATTCTCTACACCTTTCTAGTTATTTGTTAAATAAGATTCTGCAGTTATCATGGTCAAAAAACACAAACACCCACTGCTGTCCAGACCAAGGTCAAAACCTGACCGGCTACTTTCAAAATTCATAACTCTAATTCTCTAGGTCTAAAATCATGACCTTTCATGATGACAAACATCTCTAAACCCTCTACAACTTTTGTATTATCAAGTATCACAGAAAAGGTAGATTACTACTCAGAACAACTCACCCAATCAAACCTGCACAAGCTACAGTTTTCAGCACGCATGTTCAATGTATTTTCTACATTTCCTAGTTCAACAAGGAAGGTCACATTTGATAAAATTTCATTAAATCATGCAAGAATTTAGATTCCAATTAGCTGGTTGCTACCTTCCTCCTTTTGGGATTATTTCTTGTCCTATTCTGTGAAGTGATATATGTCTTCGATGCAGTCACATTTGCAGTGTTTTCGTTGAAAAGAGCTCTGCTGGGAGGTGCAGTACTTCTAGTGGAGCAAGTAGGTGCTGGTGCACCTTTTTGTACGGTGACAACGCTTCCAAGCTGAGTCTACAAACATCAAGTTGTTTGATCTATTTTAGCTACAGTTCAAGGTACATGGAACATAGTGAAATAATGTCATTACCTCCTGTAACCCATCTTCATTTTCATTTTCATGTCCACCGGTCTCATCTTCCTCTTCTATGATTGGTGCAACTTGTGTACTGGCATTGTTTTGCAGGGTACTCTATACATACAAATATTGGGGGTGAAAGATTAGGCATCACAATCATAAGATTATCAAGAGTACAAAGGATAAAAAATTATTGTTGCAAAAAGAATTAGAGCAAAACATAATCAATTCCACACCCATATATTAATTCAAATCAATCATCCATTAGATAGACAAACCATTCAAATAGCATCTAAAATCACAAATGAAAGTACAGTACACTAGGAAAGGGAAAAAAACTTTCAGCACTAAAACACTTCCTAACATCTCTACATCACTTGCAAACTTCTTGGCAGTGCAAGCTCGGCTGTGTTCTTGCTTGATCTGAGCCTCCCACTCGAAGTTTAAGCTCCTACTAACCAAATGAATAAGATTGAGATATTAGTAAATTGGGTAAAGTTATACATACACAAAATGTAATGCAATATGGTTATAATCAAGTTGATAGTAAAGGCGGTTAACAATGACAATATAGTTAGCTAATATTAGATGTAGTTCCACATCAAGTTAGTTCAAACCACGTCAACACAAGTGCGGAACAAACTTTCAATCGCCAATGCCAACTATTCTTTAGTGCCGCTGGAACTAAAATCCAAGGCAGCTACCACAAATGCAGACCTTATGCAAGAAGTATATATTTCAAACAAATAATACTAGCACTGCAAACTATACCAAATTAGTTTTCCCTAAAAAGAACTAAAACACTTGTAATCATGAGTGTTTAAGGCCAAGGTACCAGTGGTGCACAATAGAATATTTCCTCAAAAATATCAGCTCAGGTTCATCTTGCAACCGAAAGGATAAAATTCACTTCTAGAATCCTTTTTTCTTCACATGGCATTTCTGTAAAGAAACCAAGAAAAGTTACTTTAGTCATGACTCGTAGAACAATCAACCAGTAATGTAAATCATAGCACAACAATCAACAACAATGGTTTGCTTTTAAATCAAGAAATGCGAGAGAACCCTATGGAAAAGAAGAGCGATTACTGGCAAGAAGGTGCACTTGTCAACATAGCAGAACTTGTTGTGAACCGATGTGGCTTAGTACAAGCAAGAGGATACATTGGACTAGAATAAAAATGAAAACATACGATGATTCAGATAAACAAAGAGGCACCACATGATTTGTTTTGAATCATCAATAAATAAGTTAAAATTCAGAACAGAAGAAACTATATTGGCAAACCTAATGCTAATTTCTTATGCTAGCTTAATTACCTAGTGCTAGTTATTTGGAGCATACATGTATTAATTACCTAATGGTTTGTTGATTTGGGAACTTTCTTGTATTGGTGGCATGGGTTATGCACTATTTAGAGACGGTGTGAGCTCCAGATAAAAAGAGCATTCTAATGAACTCAAAAACATCTGTCGTGTTGTGTAATACATATGAACGCTATATTTTTGCTCTCAAACTCTAAAAGCCAATTATATTCCTTTGATCATATACACTTGAAAAAACTTATATTATGATTGTAACATGGTAGTATATGTGGATTTATACCGTCTAAATTTAAACAGCAGCCCTATAGATTTAAAAACATGAAGTCTGTATTTTTTTTCCACACAGCTCCTAATTAAGATCCTTGTTGCACATTTTGGTTTGGTAATTATGAGTATAGTCATCTGCAAGATGCTAATATCAATCGGAGGGCGCCATACCGATTTTTAAAATGTATTTGCTAAATGTTATTGATTTTCATTCATGTAGATTCACTTCATAGCTTTTCTTTGCATAGATTATGAGTTAGTGCATGCAGTGTGAGTCTGTCATTTTTCAAAAATAAGGAGTTTTAGTTATTTTCTAAAAATGATTAAAACCTGACTAAATCTTTAGAAAAGTTCATACTAATTCATTATATCTCAAAAAAATTAAAAAAACATATATAACTTTTTTTTTCTAAAATGAGCCCTACCTCTACGTAGTGAAGCTATGCTTCCATGCATATGGATCTTCCGATTTCAGTTGGGATTTTAAGTTTGATCAAATTTTATATTTTCCTTGTACCACATCACAACTATAAATACTTGCGTGTCGCACGTGCATGTCCACTAGTTTGCATAAAGTTTTAAGGCTACCAATGACAAGTACATAAGTATACACTAGTCGTAAGTAACTTTCCTCTAGAGTGTGAGGTTAATGGTTTGAAGCCTGGTTACAATTCTTTTTTCTTATATTTTTGCTAAGCATTGTCATCCAGAACAACCTTGGCGATTGCAACGATTTATGTTTTTGTTGCTATATGTACAACTTTTCTGCAACGCAGGCGACAATTACATACAACGAAATATCATGCAAGCATACGTGATTCTCTTTTTCACGTCGATGATCGTTGGTCGGCCGCTGATCGTCTCTCTCGTGGATGATGAAGGGTGCGAGGTGAAACTGGTTCAACGCTCCGTCCCCTCTCACATGCCGAGAAAGGACTGGACGGTGCTCGCTCTCCTTATCTCGTCGATGATCAGGAAGGAACTAGGGCACCAATATGCCGTAGTCGCTGTAGGGAATTCAAGGGCCGTGACGACTATGGCCGTAGGGAAGGGGCGCCGCGACGACAAAGGCTTCAAGGAGGCCTTGACCACGCTAGCTGCTGGTGCTGGTTGTAGGGATCGGGGGGCCCTCCACCACGTTCTTCGCAAGGAGACAGCGCATGGGGGAAGAAGAGAGGCCACGGGAGAGAAGGAGCTGCGACAGGAGCTACAGGCCGCGACCTCTACGTGATATGTAAAATTAGATTAGATCCTTTTTCCAATATAACTGGTCAACATTAATTAATATAGGGTACTTTCGCTATTACTAACACAAACCTAGACGTAGCCTAGTGGTAGGAGCTTACTTTCAAGACCAAGAGGTCTCAGGTTCAAAACCCATATTGTTGTCATTTTTAAAAAAAAATTATGCAACCATTAAAGTGGAAAGGCTTAGGTATTGCAACAATGTAATTTTTCGTTGCTATATTATAACCTTTTTGCAATGAACGAAACTGCTACATGCAACGAAACCATAATCGTTGCAACCTTAGTGATTGCAACGAACTATTTTTTTTCGTTGCTATATGTACCATTTTTTTGCAACGCAAGCGACTATTATATACAACGGAACATATTCGTGGTGATATAGATGGGCTATTGCAACCATAAAATAAAGAGTTGCAATATCACCTTAGTATTGCAACGAAAATAAACTTGCCCGCAACGCAAATCAAATCGTGGCAACATTAATCACTTATTGCAACCGTTCAATAATTTGTTGCGATAACACTTACTTTTTGCAACGATCTCCACACTTATGGCCACAAAACAATCTTCATGGCAAAAAACCAATCTATCGCAAACAAAAGTGAAAATCGTTGTGATAACAACGCTTGTTGCAACGAAACCATGTCGTTGCAACAAAAAAGCGTGGTATAAGGGACAGAAGTTAGTAGTGTCGTGTGTTTGCGCTTTCGCCACCGCCATGCCATAAAAGGTTGGGGGACAGCGGCTTTCTCATTTAAACAACGCCGAGGGGCTAGCACACAAGCCACTCGTGCGTTTGCGCTTTCGCCGTCCCCACACCCTAAAAGGTTGGCGGGACAACGCCTTTCTCGTTTAAACAACGCCGAGGGGCTGGTACACAAGCCAATCATGCATTTGAACTTTTGCCACCCCCATGCCCTAAAAGGTTGGGGGCGACGCCTTTCTCGTTCAAACAATGTCGAGGGGCTAGCACACAAGCCACTCGTGCAATTGCGTTTTCGCCACCCCATCACCTTAAAAGGTTGGGGGACGGCGCCTTTCTCGTTTAAGCAACGCCGAGAGGCTGGCACACAAGTCACTCGTGCGTTTGCCTTTTCACCACTCCCTTGTCCTAAAAGAATGGGGGGACAGCGCCTTTCTCGCCCAAACAACGCCGAGAGGCTGGCACACAAGTCACTTGTGCGTTTGGATTTTCGCCACCCCCTCATCCTAAAAGAATGGGGGGACAACTTCTTTCTCGTTTAAGCAACACCGAGCGGCTGGCACACAAGTCACTCATGCGTTTGCCTTTTCACCACCCCCTCGTCCTAAAAGAAAGGGGGGATGGAGCCTTTCTCGCCCAAACAACACCGAGGGGCTGGCACATAAGTCACTTGAGCGTTTGCCTTTTCGCCACCCCCTCGCCCTAAAAAGTTAGGGGGACGGTGCCATTTTTTTGCAAAAGAAGTGCCACTACGCCTAATTCCAAAAAAGCGAAAAACATCAATCGCATTCTTCAAATTGCGTAAAAACCTTAGATGCAGGGTCATACCACCATCAAGTTAAAACCAATCACTAGGCAGGATGAAAGAAAAGGGATAGTACCATCGGTAAATGCAGTCAGATCCACACCATAACAAACACTTAATAAACCGCACCCACCTCACCTACCAAAAATAACAGCCTGGCACCAGTATCAGCCCTATAAAAAGGAAGCCAGGTTCCCACAGACGCTCAAGTCATAGTACATAGGAACTAGAGCTGTGAGGTGGGTTCGGAATGATGGAGAGCAGCGAATGAGCGGGGATAGGAGTTAAAAGTAGTAGACACCCCTCAGCCTTTTTGCCCGTGGAGCAAAAGGTTTTACAAGCATAAAGCAAAGCCCTTTAGAACTTAGCTACCGCAAGAGACTACGTAAGCAAGACACAGGCAGCGCGAGAGGAAGAAGCACCTATTTGATGCCATGTGCCAAGCCCCTATGTCACTGAGCAGACTAGGGGTGACTAACTGCGAAAAGAGCAACATCCCCCAGCCAGCCGAAGGCACTATTTGTAGCTTCGCAGTGAAAAGACATTCTTAGAAAGGCAGTCACAGCTGGTCAAGATGTGCAAAGCCGCTGTAATGTGGCTATAGTCATTCGTGGTACGGCAGATGGGCAAGACACAGTTGCTGTTTCCCAAGATTTCGCACCAGCAGCTGTTCATCCAAGCGAAAGGACTGCAAAACCACGTAGGTTGTTGTGAGCCAAGAAGCAAGGGAGAACAGTGAGGTCTCACATATATGCCAATACACCCATTCGCTAGCCCCTAGATTGTATTCCAAATACGCTCATCTTAAGGAGCAGTGACTACGCCTATCTTCAAATCGCTCTATTATGGCTTTAGCCATTCATAGTCGTGCCGAGGGGCTGGCAATGCAGTACCCTCGAGCATCGGATTATTCGCCCATCCCGTCAGCAAAAAGATTGGAGAAAGCGGCGTCGCTCTCTCACACAACATAGTTGAAATAGGGGTCCTGAGTAGTATAGCAGATTCAGCAAAACAAAAACACAATAGCATTCGCAAACACTCATTCCAGCCAACTTCAGGCAAAAAGACAACATCAGACAGCATTTACATAAACCGTTCGGAAAAACAACAACATCGCAAGTTGTTCCTCCTATTCGCTGGCATTAGGGCGATAGTAAAAATTATAACATCGGTTCTCTACGTCTAGTGGAAGCTCTTTTGCCGGCTCCTCCTTAATTTCGTCTAGACCTAAGGATGGTTCCCATGGGCTCAGCGAAGTCATCGCCGAAGTCTTCGACGTTTTAAAAGGATGGACGAATCGAAAGTAGAAAAGAACTCTTTCATAACTCACTCCTCACGCATCCTATCATATCGCATTAGGATAAAAGTCGATAATCGTGACCTTGGAAATATTTGCCAATGGCGCCTCCAAGAAGCACCAACAACAACGAAATCCCTACATCTAATCATCAACGGATAAACTTCAACCGGATGCGCATGCTCCGTGCCATGCGCACAAGCATAGTTTAAACAAGAACGTATCAAGTTTTACATCCAACCCGAGCAACCATAACAACGAAAAGTTTTCTCGCCTCAAACGAAAGGTCAACCACTTATAAGGCTAAGAGAACCTAGGCGTCTACCCTGTCTTCGATGTTTGCGTGGGCCATGCCAGCCGCAAAGCTTTCGGCAGCCAGACTCGGAGAAGCAGCCGAAGAAGCGCCATCACCATCAGCAGCTGCTTTCGCTGCCTCCCGGCAGCGCCTCTCTTCCAAGAACACCAGCACCGTCTCCTTTATGGCTTTTTTCTCCTCTAGGCTCCGGTGAGAAAGCGAAAGCAGTGGAGGAATTCCGATCAAGGCCAATGAAGGCAAAACGAAAAGTAAGAAAAGGCGAAAATGCCAGTCACGGTACTTGGCCATGGCTGCAGGCTCCTTGCATGATTGCCATCTCATTCCCACCGGCGTGCCAGAACTCTTCGAAGAACCTTTTTCCAAGAGCTTTGGCTTCCACCGGGGTTCGCCAATAGTAATTCCACTCCTTCATTTCGAGGCTCGGGAGGAGAGTGCACCCGACATCAACCAGGCTATGACCTAGCGCCTTAAAAGCAGTGATAGCGGTGAAGTCATGAATAAGCATCATGTGGCCGTCCAGAGCGTCCATCTCGCCCTAGAGCCAGGTCATGAATTCCTCCATGGTGCACTCCCCAGAAAACTCGGTATCGGCGCCTGCACTGCGCAAGTAGTCCTGATAGCGTTCCATCATATCCCAAGAGCGGGAGGCGAATGCGTCTAATTCTTTCTCATGGGCCTTTCGCCCCTTATCGAGCTCCTTGTTAGCTTTCAAAGAAGCCTTCTTTGTCTCCTTCTGTGCGGCCTGCTCTTCTTCAAGTTTTTTCTGCAAGGCATTCACCTCCTTCTCGAGCTCCTTGATCCGTTGATCCCATTCAAGCTTCTCACCCTCCAATTTCTAGTGAATCACATCACCCTAACGATGAAGGCTGCTGCTCAACACCATCTCCTATTTTTGAAAGAAAGCAAATACAAGAGACATCAATAACGAAAGCCAATTTCAAGAAGGGGTAACTCAAAGAGGAAAGGCGCTCATGCTAGCCAAATGGAAGGAAGCAGCCTCCTTCAATGTCGAATCCTTGACCTCCAAGTGGTTTCGTTCCATCTCAGGGGTGATAAGAGCTTTGTGACATTGCTCAGCCAATTCGACAGTGTCAGAGTTTTCACCGGACAGAATCCCAATCTGGCGAAAGTTAAAACCGCAGGCCAAGTTCGCCTCCGACGCAGCACCTAAAGAACGAGCAATTCGATAAGACTCCTCCCTCATGGGGTCCGTCTCACCCAACGAACTTAACCCTGAATAGAAGTGGGGCTCACCATAGTCCTCCTCCTTTGCCCCCAAAATCAAAGGCCCATGGCCCAAAAGCTAGCCCTTCACCAGGCTAGGACTCAAACCGAACTGCCTCACAGTAAAAATGGCTCTTACCTGGCTTGAGCCCACCACCATTAGACGCTTTCACTTGGACAACTTCCTTTTCGCATCCATCCGGATTGCTCCCTATCGCCCTCTTTGTATGGGAGGACGTCTGCTTGCGCTTCTTCATCCCATCATCTCGAGGGGCATTTTTCTTTGGGGCGACCTTCACAAAAGACGGCATCTCCATCAGGGAAACATCATCATCATCAAAAATGGTGGAGGCCTCTTTGGTGCCATCCGTCCGGAAGCCGAAGTGCCCTGAAAAAGACGCACACGGAAAGAGACACGATAAGCGAGAATGAAAGCCTCAAAAAACAGTAACCGAAGGAACTCATTTGGACAGGCAGCAAGTATCAAAACATATGGAAAAGACACACCAAAACCCTCACATACCCCTTCCGCATTAGCTGCGTCACTATCGCGATTCGAATCACCGAGAGTGAATTTACGGCTCTTCTTCGAAGGCTTCACCAATTCACGGCCTAGCCGCACGTCACCAGGCTCGGAA